CTAGTTATCATGGGGAATAAAAGGTAGACTTATTTTATATTGCTGCAATAGGCAGAAATAGTATATATGGAATAGGTTTCACTTAGTATTTATAAGTATGGAAAACTAAACCAGACTGTCTTTTGATTCCCCACATATACATACATTAGTAGCATTTAAGGTGTATAGGCTTTGCTAACTCCTAAGTTCTTATGTTAGTGTTAAACACTGCCATGTAAAGGGAACAAAGAATTAGAGTAATTTACTTTAATTGTATGTGATTTTTTAAGGTTTGAGAGAATTTGGGGGGGTACAAAGATGCTTTTAAATTGGTTTTGCTACATTAATGTAGATTGTAGAGAATATAGGAAGAAACCGTAGATAAAATCTAGGAATAGAAAATCGTACTGAAACTAAAATAGAGGATACCTACATAAAAGGGGGGGGAGGAGAGACGCTACAGAGAAAAAAAGATGGGCATTTTAAGATTCCAAAATAGACCTTAAAAATCTCTAGGACAGGGAATTAAATATTTTAATAATTGCTCTCTGAGATAAAACAATTGTCCTAAAATATGTTGTTTATAGAGAGATTGGTGGACGTCTCCTCATGGTAGAAACTCGACTTCCAAATGATCTGGCTGAGTTTGAGGGAGACTTTTCTTTAGAAGGACTTCGTCTATGGAAAACAGCATTCTCAGCAATGACTCAGAATCCAAGACCAGGGTCACCCCTTCGCAATGGTCAAGCAATTGTCAATAAAGGGCCAACTAATTGCCACAAAACGGTTGAAGATAAAAAAATTGTTATTATGCCTTGTAAGTGTGCCCCAAGTCGACAACTGGTTCAAGTGTGGCTTCAAGCCAAAGAAGAATATGAACGTTCCAAGAAACTGCCTAAAATTGAGCCAACTGGAGTAAAATCTGCTGAAAAGTTTATTTCTTCAGTTAATCCGGATGACAAGCCTGTAGTGCCTCCAAAAGTAGATGTAAGTCCACATATACTCCTTGCTACAGCGCATACCAAGGAGGATGTTGATAATTCTCAGATTGTTTTACAAGCACCAACCACAGGATGCAGTATAACTGTAAGTGAAAATCAGAGGTTACCACCAGTTGCCTCTGCAAATGATCCTGAGAAAGATGAAGATGATGATGGTAACCATTATGTTAGTTCTCCTGATTCTCCAGTAATTCCCCCTTGGCAACAAGCAACATCCCCAGATTCCAGATCATTAAATGGAGATGATCGACCCTCATCACCAGTAGAGGACCTACATTCTTTGGCTGTTGAGAATATGTTAAAGCCAATAAAAGATGGTATACAGAAAAGCCCCTGCAGTGAGCCTCGGAATCCTCTAGTGATATCTCCAATTAATGCTAGGGCAAGAACAGGGAAATATGAATCACTTTGCCTTCATAGTACACCAGTCATGCAGAGAAAACCGGAAAGGCTTCCTGAAGTAACGGATCTTAGCCCTTTATCAACAGGTAAGTATATAGATAATGGAAATTCTCCATAATTGTTCTTCAGGGATAGAAATTAAGACATAAGACTGTATAATGAAGTCTGAGCTTTTGTGTAAAGTTATGGTTCAGCAAATAAGAAACGTGTTATTTTGTCACATCTTGGAAAGTTGTGATATGGAAAACTTTTCATCTTTCTGCTGTGAAATCTGCTTACTTTTGCTTCTATCTTCCTGCCTTTTGAGTGAAATATAGGATGGCTCTCAGAAACCTTACCTTCTCTGCTTGATTTTTCCCATTAACTTTTACACATACCCAAGACTCTCTCACCCTTTCTTTTTTTTTTTTTGGCCGAGACTGGGTTTGAACCCGCCACCTCCGGCATATGGGGCCAGCTCCACCCTCTCATCTTTTAAAATAGAAGCAAAAAGCAAAACCTTCTTTGGCCTCAAATCTCCAGCCAAACTTTAGTCTTTCTCCTTTCTTCAAGCCAGTTTCATAGATTTCTTTAGTTTAACTTCGTTTAGCTGCTGTCTACTCATTTCTCAGCCCACTATAAACTGAATTCTGTTCCCATCATTCCACCAAATGGCTCTAGTATAGATTCACAACAAACTTCTTGTAGCTAAATCCATCAGATGTTCTGGCCTCTGAGCACCCATTTTCTTACTGATCACACCTTCCTTCTTGAAGCTCTTCTCCCCTTGGCTTTCCTCTCTGTTTCCTCCTGCTTGCTTTCCTTTGAAGCTTTTCTCGCTATTCTCACTTGTTATCTAAATGTTAGGGTTTATTAAGACTTCGTCTTAAGCCTTCTTTGCATTTTTCCCTAAATTATCTAATTTCTGCCCCCAGTATTATGACAGATAACTCACAAATTTAAATTTCTAGCTCAGAACTGTATTTTAAGCTCCAGAATACTTTATCTAGCTGCCTAGGTGGCATTTCTACTTCAATGCTCAATGTTACTTTAAGGTCAATATTTTTAAAACCAACTCATGATTTCACTGTACACATTCACAACCACCTCCCCAGCACACTGACACTCATTCGTATGTACATTCATACACATAGTAACCTATTCTGGTCATCTTTTGGTTTTTCTTATTTCAATGACTAGTGCACCAGTTACACAAGTCAGAAACATAGAATTTATTTTTAACACATACCTGATTCCTTCATTACCCACCCTAGTTTCCAATCCATTACCAAGTCCTATTACGTGTTTATCTTCTAACTAAACCCAGACCTATCTACTTCATTCTACCTCTACCACCACAACCTTAGGCCAACCTGTCATTATCTCTTGCCTGGGCTTCTGCATTAGCCATTTTATCTGCTGTTAACAGTTTCTAGGGTTTTTGCACAGTAATCAAGGAAAAGCCTCACTCTGTTCCTAGTTAATTACTTATTCTCTATTCAGATTACAGTTCAAAGAAACCTTCCCTAATTGCCACGACTCAGTAAAAATTCTCAATTATATTCCCCTTTGTTGTACTTAGTATTCCAGTTATAATTGTATTTTTCAGTATGTATTTGATGAATGTCTGATTTTCTTTCTAGATCCCCTGAGGGTAGAGACTGTTTTTCCTTCCTCATCATAGATAACTTGATAAATAAGTGAATAAATGAATTAAATAATTCCCTAGGGTAATGACTAAGGTATAAAACTTGGTAATTAAAACATAAGAATATTTATTTTAAAATAGAAAATTTTACAGTTACTTTGGTAGAGATCAGAGACTTGAATTAGTTTCATTTTTAAATTATTAAGTTTTAGAGGAAGTCATGGGACTGTACTCACAAAAGGTACTTAAATGTTTAAAACAACAACTTTTTAAAAAAACATACAGGTTATTTTTATATATATGTTAAATATGAAATTTTTTCCTACAGAACCAAAAACCCAGAAGTTGAGTAATAAGAAAGGAAGTAATATTGACACTCTTAGAAGAGTACTCTTAACACAAGCAAAGGTAACTATACTAAACATTTTTAAAGATCAGTGAAACATCAAGTCTTATTCTTAGATTTTAGTTAGATAATAAATTTGTCTCAATTTAAAACTTTTTATTACTGATATTTTTGTATCATTTATTTATCTTTGAGACAACAAGAAGTTGCCTATTTTTTTTTAGTTTTTTTTGTTGTTGGGATCTAAAAGATTCTTATATGTAAATACAAATATTACAGAGAAAGTGAATATGATAGCCAAAATGTGGATTATGAGGATACAAATACATTAACTGATTACTGGCAAAATCAGAACAGTCCAATGACAGCAGAGCTCAAGTAAGTGATTTTTGATCCCACCAAAAATATATCCTTTTTATTGTTTTGTTACTTTTTTCTCAAAATATAGCCTAATTTTTACTAAGTAGCAAAGAAAGTGTCATTTACTCCTGAAACTCTGAAAAGTCATAAATGTCTTTATCCAAATACTAAAAATCTGGTAATACTTAACTTAGAAGTAAAGGGTTATGTGAAAAAAGTATGCATACAGTATTATTGAATTACAAGTGCATTAGAAACAAGTACTGTACC